CCGGAGAGACCCGGGTTCGGTTCCCGCTAAGGGCATGTGCCTCGGTTGCAGTTTGTCCCCGGCCCTGGTTGGTCGTGCGGGTGGCAGCCACTCGGTGTGTCCCTTTCACGTCGATGTTTCTCTCTCTCTCTCTCTTCCTCTCTCTCCCTCCCAGTCTATCTGAACAAAAAATGGAAAAAGGTCCTCGGGTGAGGATAAAAAAAAACAAAACAAAACGCGAGTTCTGCCCTGGTCGGTTTGGCTCAGTGGTTGGAGCATTAGCCCATGGACCAGAGAGTCGAAGGTTTGATTCTGGTCAAGGACATGTACCTCAGTTGTGGTTCAGTTCCTGGCCCTGGTTGAGGTCGTACAGGAGGCAACCAATCAGTGTGTCTCTCTCACATCGATGTTTCTCTCTCTTCTTCTCTCCCTCCCTCCCTCTCACTCTATCTGAAGATAAATGCAAAAATATCCTTGGGTGAGGATTAAAAAAGAAAACGTAAAAACATGAGTTCTGGGCATGAGTGGGTTTATATGTATTAGCACATAGTTTCTAAGTCTTAGAACATTACCATGGTCACCAAATTATTGTGAAGAAGAAACTTATTTAAAAAATAACAACAAGGTATTTCTTGGGTAAGTAGGGTGTAAATTATGGACAGATGTCTCTAAACTACTTAAACTCCAGAGGAATAAATGTGTCCTGGAAAACTTGAGGACTTCTTAGTAATTTCATTTTAAGAATTGTACTCTGTACTTCAAGTTACCAATTTACTGTCTGTCATTTTACAGCATCCTACAGTTAACATTAAACTTCTCCTGGTGGAGCCACAAAGTAAACAGCTCATGACTTCTGATCAGGACGCTAAGGTCGTGGCTGAACCGCAGGGCCAGCGAGTCCAGGAAGGGAAAGACAGCGATCATCTGGTGAGTGCACCACTGAGGCCAGGGTGGGCCTGTGCATCTCCCTTTCTTCTGATAACAGATTTTTACATGGAATAAATTTAAGGGTAGCTTAGTAGAGGAAACTTAAGTACTAGGAGATAGAAAAAACAAATGGCAGTTAATAGATCTAGATACTTAAAGCCTTGGATTTTAATTATTTTTCACATTTATTGATTTTTAGAAAGAGAGAAAAATTATCAACTTGTTCCACTCATTTATGCGTTCATTGGTTGATTCTTGTATGTGCCCTGACCGAGGATTGGACCTGCAACCTTGATGTTATCTGGAGGACGCTCTAACCAACTGAGCTACCTGACTGACCAGGGCCAAAGCCTTAGATTTTAAATTACCAAGAAAACACAGTGATTTATAAATACTTTTTTTTTTTTTAAATCCTCATCCAAGGACACTTTACTATTGATTTTCAGATAGAGTGGAAGTGAGGGAGAGAGAGAAAGAAACATTGATGTGAGAGAGAGACACCGATTGGTTGCCTCCCAAATAACCCCAACCAGGGCTCGGGATCAAATGGCAACCGAAGTGTGTGCCCTCAACTAGAATCGAACCCAAGACCCTTTGGTCCGCAGGTCAATGCTCTAACCGCTAAGCCAAACTGGCCAGGACTATATTTTATAACATTATAGCTATTGCAGTGGTATGTTAAAGGATTAATTAGGATTATAACATAAATTTTTTATTTTGACTGCTTTCATTAATTATAAGATTTGATCATGTCAAGCATTAATATTTAAAGTTTCTAAATGACTTTGGGAAAAGTAGATTTTCTTCATTTTTCCCATTGAAACTAGAAATTTTAGTTAGGGTGTTCAGTCAGAATTTCAACATATTTTAAATTTCAAGTTTCCTACATTGCTCTAAATATCTCACTGAATTTCCTTTGTCATATATAGATGTGCTTTTCTCAGTGGGTTTTGTTGTGTTCAGTTACTGTGGTTTGAAAATATGTTTTTTTTACATTGTAGTGATAGTGTAATGTTTTCAATTTTGCAGATGAATGGTCCCATATCTCAAACCACTTCTCAGACAAGCTCCATCCCAGCTTTGAGTCAGGTAATTTCGTCCTGAGATAAATCACAGTGGAGGCGCATAGATACTTCCTTATAACAAATATTTATTGTAAAATAATTAGAAAATGTTGATATTTCCTAAGGGGGGGTAGGGAGGACCCAACTGGGTATAATAGATGTCAATACTATATGTTCTCTTCTGGTATATATAGTTCTATAGTGCCTTGTGTATTACTTTGATGTCGTATAGTCATTATAGTGTTTTTAATGGTTCACTGATAATGTATTGTACGTATATTATTAACTTTACATATTGATATCCTGTGCTATTTATTTGTTTATATCCTCAATTGAGGGTATTTTTCCATTTTTTGTTCAGATAGAATGGGAGAGAGAGAGAGAGAAACATTGAAGTGAAAGGGACAAATCGAGTGGCTGCCTCCCGTACGGCCCTGACCCAACCGGGGCCGGGGACAAACCTCAACAGAGGTATGTGCCCTTAGTGGGAACCGAACTTGGTCTTTCTAGACCACAGGCCAACCCTCTAACTGCTGAGCCAAACCGGCCAGGGCTATCCTGTGCTTTTTCAAGTATACAAGTCACAGTAAGCTTTTACCATAAGAAAATTGGTTTAGAAAAGTACTGCTATGAGAAATGTCTGAGATTTTATTGCCTTTGTTTTTTTCTAGGATTTTTATGGTTTTGAGTCTAACATTAAGTCTTTAATCCATTTTGAGTTTATTCTTGTGTGCCATGTAAGAAGGTATGGTCTAGTTTCATTTTTTTGTACTTAATCTGTCCAATTTTCCCAATACCATTTATTGAATAGACCATCTTTAGTCCGTTGTGTGTTTTTGCCTTCTTTGTCAAATATTAATTGACTATAAAGGTGTGGATTTATTTCTGGGCTTTGTATTCTGTTCCATTGATCTATGTATTTGTTTTTATGTCAATACCATGTTTTGATTACTGTGGCCTTGTAACATAGTTTAATATCAGGTATGGTGATTTGGCTATTCAGGGTCTTTTGTGGTTCCATATAAATTTTTGAAACATTTGCTCTAGTTCTATGACTAAGTGAAATAAGCTGGTCAGAGAAAACAAGTACCATGTGATTTCACTCATATATGGAATTTAATGAACAAACAACTACCAGGCAAAATAGAGACAGACTCTTAGATAGAGAGCAGGCAGACAGCTCTGTTGGGGGTGGGGGTGGAGGGATTAAGTAAAAAAGAAAAAAACAACTCATGGATGTGGACAACAGTGTGGTGATGGCAGTGGGTGGAGGTGGAAGAGGGCATAGAGGGGATAAATGGTGATGGAAAAAATAAATTAAAAAAATTGATTCACATTTTAGCTGTGATTAATGAAAAAGTATGGGAATGGACATCTATTGGTTTTTATTTGTTATTTTATTTTTAAGTCCTCACCAGAGGATATTTTTCTTTCCTTTTTTTTTTTTTTAAATCCTCACCTGAGGACATTTTTGCATCCATCTTCAAATAGAGCGGGAGGAAGAGAGGGAAGAAGAGAGAGAGAAACATCATTGTGAGAGAGACATGGACTGGCTGCCACCCACACGATCCCAACCAGGGCCAGGGACAAACTGCAACTGAGGTACATGCCCTTAGCGGGAACCGAACCCGGGTCTCTCAGGACCGCAGGCCAACACTCTAACTGCTGAGCCAAACCGGCCAGGGCTCTGACCATTTTTCTAACTGACGTTACTATGGCACACTAAGTGTCTAGACATTTTACTTCGTGTCATGACTATGAGTGTTGGTGCTCAGTAGTCTACAGATATGATTGGCAGTGAGTATGCTTAGTAGTTTGATTTAAAAACCAGTCTCTTTAAGGTTCAGTCTTCCCTCCAGTTGGACACAGTGTGAGTTGGAGGAGAATCCTCATAATGATGGCCAAGTACATGAATAATTCAGGAGCAGATTTGCATTTATCCAGTAGTAATATCAATCACATTATATTTATTATACAGCCCTTTGCTCCATACCCCAACCCCAATTTTGAGTAGTAACTACAAGCCTAGCTAATCAGTGAGCACCAAAAAGTGATCCTAACTAGAGGAACTGAGACCTGGAGAGGATTAAATAATTTCCCCAGGATTACTCAACTAGAACATGGAAGAACCAGGGTTTGAAACCAGGTAACCTGGCTTGAGTCCAAACTCAAGATGAGATACTTCTTCTTTGACATCTGTATATCATTTAAAAGCAGAAACAAGTAGAAAATAATGCCCAAAACAAAAACTAGTTCTTGTCAGCCATTTGGCAACTATTTGCATTATCTCTGAGCAGATGAAATTAATTTGGGATAAAGCTGGAGGATTTTAGGTGGGGAATAGTATGACATTATAGGAAAATTATTCTGACCTCATTATATTAAGAGAATGGATTATAGTGACTCAAGAATAGAAGCAAAGAAACCAAATAAAAAACTATTAAGTAATCAAGGTAAGAAATGATGGTGGCTTAGACTTGGATTTCAAATTTATTTTGGAGGTAGGAAAATCCACCTGGCAGAAATTCAAGTGAGCAGTGAAGTAGGCAGAGTGGGGTTGGTTGGATCTCAACTCAGTAGAGAAGTTAGAGCTTGAGATGTAAATTTGAAATAAATAAATAGATGTTTTGCTATATTTTTATATAGAAAAGACTATTAAAACTACTATTGTGTATGTGTTTTGCTATTTTGTTTTATCTTTTCCTTCCCTCTACAAGCACACTTCAAAAAATGTTGTGTATTTACTTCTTTAGATAAAGCTTCAACATGCTGCTCTTAATGGACACCATTCTAATTTTGTGCCTAGCACTGTTATTTTTGAACACACACAGGCATTATTTCTTTCAGAAAATCAGATATAATTGTAAATACCTATACATTTTAAAGAGTAACTTTTTATTATTGTTTCCCTTTGGGGACAATACAAGCTAACTTCTTTGGTTGCCATTCCATGAAATGTAGTTCAGAGAATGCTGAAACACTATAGAAAAAGCAGAGGTCTGAAATTCCTTCTGGCTGAGATAATTTTAGTCATTTTTTTTATTGAGTTTATGAGAGTACAAAGAATAATACAAAAATTTTTTTTTGCTATGTGAGTCTTTGGGTTCTGTGTGTTGTTTGGGTTTTGGTGTGTGAAATAGGATGGTGTTAGGCAGGGGCTGTTGTAATTAGGGTTTTGGATTTGAGTGGCGGGGACATGTGACTGCTGTGCAAGGAGCTATTTTTGGTGTCTGGGTGTTGGCTTCTCGTCAGAAACCATAGAAAATTAGTGTGAGGTGCACTTAGGGAGCTTAGACAGCAACAGGCATTGTGATGTGAGTGTTTGAATATTTGAACATGGGCTGTTGCTTTAGCAAAGAATTAGGTGGTGACAATGACAATGAAAAAATTGGCCTGCTACAAAAGTCTGTGGAGGAGAAGGAACCGGAGGACAAGATAAGTAAAACTTTGTCTGTATTACTTGATAGGCTGGAAGGTGAGGAGCTGCATAATGTTGAATATGGAGCTAGCAGGGCAGCTGCTAGGACTGATATGTGGCCGAAGATGTTTGTGAGGTCTGGGCACAAATGGGCTCACAGACCGAGGCAGTCATTTAACTCTATTTCCTCTTTAATGTGTAAGTTCCTAGCTAGGTATGAAAATTTGGATGAGACTGATAAGAATTCAGATACTGCTGCTGTTGAGCAGGCCTGTGAGAGTGTCTGTGAGACTGTGTGTGTGGACATTGACAGCACACAGGGTTTCTCTGCAGGTGTTGGCTCTGAAGAGGTCGAGTGTTTTTCACATGTCCCAGGGCCTTCTGACCAGGGCATGCAGGAAGGAGCTTTTGTAAATAACCGTCTGTACTGTCACCCTGTCACTTATAAGAATTCTGTAGTAGAAAAAGAAATCGCAGTAAATGTTCCCATCAGTTGTAATGAGAATAATGCTCTAGGTGTGTTTGGTAGGGAGATGGAAGGTACAAACCTTATTTGTGTGGATTACAAACGGTGTTGGAATTCAAGAGAGAGCAAGTTTTACAGTATCTGTGTTGTAGATCCTGGTGGCCTGGATGATAACAACGAGCCGTGTGCAAGCGTGCGCAGGTGTGGAGCAGCTGCAACAGAAGAGAGCTGCTCAGCTGTCATTTCTGAGGGGGTTTGCAGAGGGGCCTGGCCACCAGACAACATCGCACAAGGTCTGGGACACTTAGAGGCACCACAGGAAGAGCTGTCCCCAAATGGCCTGCTGGGTCCAAATGAAGTGAAGGAAGTCTCTAATGAGAAAACTAAGCCTAATTTTGAAGTTTTGACTGACAGCGATCCATCTTGTAAAGGAAACACTGGTGACATGGAGGCTGTGTCTTTAAGGGCAAACAATTACACCAGATTCCCTAAAGATTACACAGAAGGTGGTATATTACATAATGTTGGTAGAATACCTGAATCAAATGCTAACGTAGACGCTAACTCATTAGAATACATATGTGCCAACTCTAACGAAGGAGAGAGCCATAGTTCAGCACTAGTAAGTCTGATGGGTGACTCACCTGTTAATCTAATAAATGATACTTCCAATATTGAACAAAATGGTGAATCTGGAGCTGTAAAAGCTAATGTAGATCAGAGTTTAAACTCTGAAAAGGAAGGCGGAAAGAACTTTATAAACTCTCTAAAAGACAATGATTGTTCCAGTTTAGATGTTAACAGATCAGACAACCCAAAAAGGTGTATCATTTCAGTGAACTTTGGAAATGAGTGTCTTCCTTTTCATGCTAATTTCCGAGAAGCAACCCCTAGCAGAAGTGATGATCCCAGACCTGAATACCTGGGGCCAGTGGTGACAGAGGGACAGTATAACGGTGATCACAGCCTGGGAACTAGGACCACCCAACTTGTGAGCAAAAGAGAATTGACTTTGCAACCTGAAAGTAGTTCATCTTATCAAGATGAAGATGAAAGGAGCATTTTCGAAGATGAGAGTCATGGTAAGAGGGCCTTTGAAAGGAGATCTTTGAGTCAGGAAGATCTGTGTGCAGATATTGAGGCCAGCATAGCCCAGGCCCAGATCTGTGATTTAACTCGTGCAGTACAGGCAGCAAACGTGGAGGTCTTATGTCAAAGAACAGACACTCTTAATGTCAGGAGTTCTCAGAAAGTGTCTCCAAATGTTGAGTTTCCTGTTGGCCTCAGGTGTGTTCAGAGTAACTTTATGTCCTCTGCATTCATTTTCGCCTGCACTGAAGAAGAGAGTGAAACAGGCCAGTGTCATAAAACAGAAGATGAACTGTGTGTGAAGAGTTCAGGGAGTGGCTCTCATAGATTAGAAAATGCTGAAGAACAATCATTAAAGGCTAATCATAGAGAGACAAGTAAAAAGGAAGTAGAAAATGTCAAGTTCGACACTAAAGCAGTCTGTCACTGGGAAACAAATACAGTAAAATGCAAGGCAGTGCCCGGTCAGGATGTACTGGCTTGTGTTAGTTCTAATATAGCAAAAACCCCTGATTTCAAAACAAATCAAATAGAAAAACATGATGAAACCTGCAGAGTGAATGACTGCAGACACGAAGATCTTCAACTTGTACCACCTGTGAGTTCAGGTGCGCAGATGGCAGAAGAAGAGGAGACCTACTCTTTCAACTGTGGTGGTGATCCAGGACTGGAGCAGGTTTCCTGCACATCTGCTGGTGCAGTGGCAGGACACAAACCAGAACTGATAGGGGAAGAGATGGAAGAGGGCCTTTACTGGGACAAAGACAACAGTGACTTTAGCAGCGGCTACTGCAGAGGTCCATGTGGGACAAGCAGACTTGCACACCACTTTACACAAAGAAATGCCACAGCCACAGTTAAAGGACTCATGTTAAACGGCAAAGAGGGTTTTGTGGGAAGTTCAGCAGTGAATTTTGGAGAAATGGAGTTAGGTCACACTCTTGCTGGGTATTCCTGCTTGGCTGGTGTGGATCCTGCTCAAGTGGACAGACATACAGCTGTTCCTCATGGTGTGCTGCAGGCAATTACTGTCATCCCAGGTGGCAGCAAAGAAATAGTAGTATCAAGTAGTGAGGAACATGTTTTATCACTCTCAGAAGACACTGTAAATATATCTGAAGACCCCTCAGAAGGGGATTTGCAGAGCTTCCCAGAGGAACTGTATTCCCCGTTTTTTAATAAACTTTCCTATTACCCAGTGGGAGGGTTGGCAAGTCAGGTGTTTTCTGAAAGCTTGACAGGTGGTTGTAGATATCCAGTGGGCTGTCTGTGGACTAACACAGTTGTGAAAGGTGCACTAGAAGATGAACAAATACTTATTGGGGACCTGCAAAGTCAGCCACAGGACTTTGAGATCTCTCCCTTTTGGATGGAAAAACTCCCTTATCAGCTACCAATGGCAGAAGATGGTATTATTTGGGGATGGCAAAATAAAGGTGCACAGTTAGTAAGTATGTTTTTATCAGTTTGTATTACTGTGGTGTGATATACTAATCTTTTGTTTTGATTGCTTTCAACTTAAAATTAACAAAGATTTATTCTAAACAATGGGCAGTTTGAATCTTTAAAGCTATGAGTTAATGTAGCATTGATTTAATCATTTCCAGATTGGAGACTATGAATTCACTTCACTGTTTGGTGTATTTTAGCTAGAGTTTGTGACAACTCTTATTAGCACTAAACCTGTACTATTCAGGTGGCCACACGCAGTTTGTGCAGATTGTCTTCTGTTTTTGGACTTTGTGTGCATGTGATCATAAAAGCTGACCTGCCCAGTCCCATCCTTGTCATCAGTAGCCCCTTGCTGGAACAGATCAAGCATTTGACCCATTGAATTTTTAAAGTTGTTTCTAAAAGGTTACACCTGCAGTGTATACATGAATTAAATCTGTGCTTTCCACTATTTTGTGTGTTAACTAAGGCAGGTAAAATTTGCTGCTTTTAACTGGCTCTGAAATCTTGCTCTGTCTTCCTTTGTCAGAATATCTGCAGAGCTTTTCAGACCATGGTGCTCAGACCCTGCTCCTTTGGAAGAACCTTCATAGATGATTCTGCATTAGGCAGCTAATTTGGGCATCTTCTTAGAAATTCTGTAATAAATGCAAACATTCCACAAACGGAAAAGTTAGTCTTGCTCTTAAAGCAGTCCTTTAGGGCATGTATGATTTAAAGGGCATACTTATAATAGTAAAATTTCATTTGTTTAAACAATAGTTTATTATTAGTGATTTTTGTTGCATTGGGCAAGAAAAATGATTGGTAATAGTAAGGAGATAGATGTAGTGTAAATGTTAATTAATGCCTATTATATGGAAATAAACAAATAAAAATTAAATCTTATAATTTAGGGAATTATCCATTAACCTTTTTTCTTTCCTTTCCATGCCCACATTTGGGAGTTTTACCAGAGTTACGTTCAGGTTAATCAGTTTTGTTTTTTAAATAATTGTAGAAGCAAACACTATAAAATTAGACCTTTTAATCATATGCATATAATCATTTATATACGTGGGCACGATTAACAATTGGCTGCTAATTTCAGTGCTTGGTACATTAATGTAGAATGCACAGGTCCTGTTGCTATCCTGCTCTTCTACATCTAAGTGAGGTATATGTGTACTGTTCTGAATTAGCTTTTTCCATTATGAGATACTCCCAAACAGCACTCTGATTTGACACACTACATTTAAGGATGGTGCTTTTCCTTTCACAACTCTAGTTTTCACAGTGTTTATACAAACATCTTTTTTATAGTATTCTTATGTACAGCAGTTGTTACTCCATTTCACAAATCAAGAATGAGAGGTATAGAGACCTCATGACTCTTAAGCCAGTGAATTGCTTTGAATTATTAAGCTTACTTAGTGACAGATCCAGGAATTTTGCGCTAATTTGAAATAAGAAATGTGTGAGTGTATTTTTCTTCCTATTATCTTACCTATTTTATGTTCTCCACCTACTTTTCCTTTCCTCTGATATTAGTTACTCTAGTTTCTACTTGGTAACTTGTCAGTGGGACCATTCTGTCTCATGTTGAGAAAACACAAATTTATGAATTGCTGTGTTATTTATTTTTAATGGAGCATTGTGTTTGGGAGGGGGTAGAAAGTTTCTTTAGAGTGTCAGAATTTGGGGTTGGTATACTCTTCAAAGAGTAATATTGATCATTTATGCAAAATCAATTCAGAATATTTTTTTTTTTTTTGTCACCTGAGGATGTGTTTATTGATTTTAGAGGGAGGGAGAGAGAGAAACATCCATGTGAGAGAGCTAAATGTCGATCCATTGCCTCCCGTATATGTCCCGACTGGGGATTGAACTGAACCGAAACCTAGGTATGTGTGCCCTGACTGGGAGTCAAACCCCAACCTTTCAGTGCACAGGATGATGCTCCAACGAACTAAGCCACCTGGCCAGGTCAAAACATGGGGTTTTTTGTTTGTTTGTTTGTTTTTAATCCTCACCTGAGGATATTTTTCTATTTATCTTTAGATAGAGGAGGAGGGAGGGCTGGGGGGAGAGAGAGATAGAGAGAGAGAGAGATAGAGAGAGAGAGAGAGAGAAAGATCAGTGTGAGAAAACCACATCCACCAGCTGCCACCCACATGACCACAACTGGGGCTGGGGACGAACCGCAACTGAGGTACATGCCCTTAGCCAGAATTGAACCCAGGAATCCTTGGTCCGTGGGCCAGTGTTCTAACTGCTGAGCCAAACCGACCAGGGCCAAAACCTGGTTTTTAAGGTTCTAATAATTGCTTAGCCATGATATTCAGTGGATAAATAAAACTTAGGTGTCCAAGCAGGTGAAACTTAAGATGTTGATAATCAGTTGGAAGGTTCATATAATTGTAAGAGAATCACCACATTTTAAAGAAATAAGTTATTTCTCATGTGAATTGCAAGAAGTTAAGGAACTCTTGATAAATGTTGTTTTGTGTGGGGTATTTTTTTCTTTCTGATATTAGAGTACTTTTTATGATTACCATTATTTTTGAGGGGCAAGTTACTTAACCTGTCTCTTTCTTGGTTTCCTTATTTGTGAAATGGAGGCATTGATTACTACTACCTGACAGTCTTGTCATTGTTAAATACAGGTAAGTACCTAGAATATTCTGGCACCTAGCAGACTCTCCAGTGTTAGTTGTCACGTCATTAGGTCTTAATTATGTCTCTCTTTTTTAATCCTTTGTCACATTTCAGAATATCTTTTGAATACTGGTTAATTGCTTTAAACTGTGAATTTCCTAATAGTTGATTTGGATTTGAGTACCTACTACTTACGAAATAGTAAATTACATAAAGGTGTATGATTCTGTTTGGTTGTGGCATAAAACCTTGCACAGGTTGTCAAATAGTGGAAAATAGAATTTTCTTTGTTATTAGTTTATTAAACATTAATTCCTTCAGTATATTTCTCAAGCACTTGTATACTGAGTTCAGAACTGCTAGGTAGTAACAATGCAGTGGTGAACCAAATGGATATCCAAGAGTTTGTGGGCTCATAGGAAAGATAGACCAGACATGTTCTAGCCGTGCGAGCACTGTGGGAGACAAGCCTGCCGCAGGCTTGAGGTTATCAGGGTGTTGTTTACCTCTAGGTTGAAGTACTAGTAAAGTACAAAATGTATATTGGTGATGTAGTACATTCAGCTGCAAAAGGTGCTAAAAATGGAAAAGATTGATATTGGTTGGTGTTGGGAGTTAAGAGAATGTATAGTTTGTACATGAGATCAGGGGAGTCAATTTCCTGGGTGGTAAAGGAGGGAAGCTTAGTGTGTGTTTTTGCCTGGTGGAAGGAGACCAGGTATAATTAGAAATAGTGGTTTACAGAAGTGTTAGGAAAGAAAGAGAATAGAGGCATGAGTTAAGGGGGATAAAAGCAGATGGTAAAGGTATGAATGCTGAGGAAGTTGGTAGTAGTGGTGGCTTAGATGTACCTTTTGCATTGCTTTTTGCTCATGAAGGTTATGTCCTGATGGCGTAGTGCTATGCCTAGCACTTACTGAGCATTTAGGGAGTATTTTGGGGGACATGGGGGGATGAGAGAGGCAAATAGAGGAATACCCTGTGCAGAAGCAAAGGCAAAAGTAAACTGAAAGTGTAGGCACCATGTAAGAAGGGGGATTGAAGACTCTGTACTTTTTTTTTTTTTATCCTCACCTGAGGATATTTTTTCTATTTATCTTCAAATAGAGTGGAGGCAGAGAGAGGGAGAGAAAGGGAGAGAGAGAGAAACATCAGCGTGAGAGGGACAGACACATCGACTGCTTGCCTCCCGCACAACCCCGACCAGGGCTGGGGACTGAACTGCAACCCAGTACATGCCCCTGGCTGGAATCAAACCTGTGACTCTTTGGTTCGTGGGCCGATGCTGTACCACTGAGCCAAACTAGCCAGGGCAAGACTCAGTACTTTTTGTGGTTGATGTTAATCTTCATCCGAGGATATTTTTTTTCTATTAATTTTTAGAGAGAATTGGAGGGGGGCGGGTGAGTGAAGGAAACATCGATGAGAGAGAAACACGTCAGTTGGTTGCCTCCTCTGCATGTCCCAACCAGGGCTGGGGTCAAACCTGCAACTCAGGTATGTATCCTTGACCGAGAATCAGATCTGCAATCCTTCAGTGTATAGGCTGACACTCTAGCCACTGACCCACACTGGCTAGGGCAAGACTTAGTACTTCTTGAGTATAGTATTCTTTTTATTTTTATTTTATTTTATTTTTTTTATCCTCACCCGAGGACATTTTTCCATTTTTTGTTCAGATAGAGCGGGAGGGAGGGAGGGAGAGAGAGAGAGAGAGAGAGAGAGAGAGAGAGAGAGAAACATCGATGTGAAGGGACACATCGAGTGGCTGCCACCCGCACGACCAACCAGGGCCAGGGACAAACTGCAACCAAGGTACGTGCCCTTAGCGGGAACCGAACCCGGGTCTCTCTGTACCGCAGGCCAACGCTCCAACCGCTGAGCCAAACCGGCCAGGGCGAGTATAGTATTCTTGAAAGAGAAGGGGAACCCTGTTCTTTGCTCATTCACCAATACATAAAAGAATAAAAAGAATTCCAGGTAGGCACTCACTGAGGCGTCTAGTTCTGTGGGCATGATGTTTATTGCCCTTGCCTCCTAAATATGAATAAAGTAGATACCATAGTTTTAACCACATCAGCCTCTACTGTCAATTTCAGAAATAGTTGTTTTTCACTTCAAACTTTAATCACCCAGCCAGAGTGAATTTATTTTGTCTTTTTTAAGATTGTTAATTTATGTGTGGTTTCTCTGATGGCTTATCCTGACACAGTTTACATTAGGAGAGTATCGGATAATATGTGCTCCTCTCTGGGGTCATGTAGTGAGGCTAAACTCAGCTCAGAGCTCCTGTCTGCCACTGCTCGAGGGCTCCAAGGACCAGGACTCTGATCCCTCCCTTTAGAAGCTCTGACTCTATACAGTGGGGTCAAGGCTCAGGTACTTTGGGAAAAGGCAAATAATTTGGCTGTGTTTGCTAAACAGTTGTGGCAGCAGAACTGGAGTTAGTTTGGGAAGAAGCCACACTTGGGACATTAACTTTTCCTTAGATTTGAGGAGCCGCTCAAGGTTTGTAAGCAGGAGAAGAAAAATTGGGGTGATTGTTGGTTTAATAAAAAATGACTTTCACCAATCCCTAAATTAGGTGAAGGTGGTAGATGTGTGAGTACTTGCTAGAGTGTTCCGGACAAACAGAGCAGAAGTGTCTGGGGTGTCTGGACAGCAAGAGGCCGGTGATCCTGGAAATGATCCCAGAGTTGCCCCATCAAGCACCCTTCTGACAGATCTGTTAGAGACCTTTGTTCTTGGAGGAACTTTCATTTTCTACGTCCTTTATTTATATGAATGTTGGAGATATT